TGGAACAGAACAGAGAATCCAGAAGTGGACCCTCAACTTTATGGTCAACTAATATTCGACAAAGGAGGAAAGACTATCCACTGGAAGAAAGACAGTCTCTTCAATAAATGGTGCTGGGAAAATTGGACATCCACATGCAGAAGAATGAAACTAGACCATTCTCTTTCACCATACACATAGATAAACTCAAAATGGATGAAAGATCTAAATGTGAGACAGGATTCCATCAAAATCCTAGAGGAGAACACAGGCAACACCCTTTTGGAACTTGGCCACAGCAACTTCTTGCAAGATACATCCATGAAGGCAAGAGAAAAGCAAAAATCAATTATTGGGACTTCATCAAGATAAAAAGGTTCTGCACAGCAAAAGAAACAGTCAACAAAACTAAAGGACAATCTACAGAATGGGAGTAGATATTTGCAAATGACATATCAGATAAAGGGCTAGTTTCCAAGATCTATAAAGAACTTCTTAAACTCAACACCAAAGAAACAAACAATCCAATCATGAAATGGGCAAAGACGTTAACAGAAATCTCACAGAGGAAGACATAGACATGGCCAACAAGCACATGAGAAAATGCTCCACATGACTTTCCATCAAGGAAATACAAATCAAGACCACAATGAGATACCACCTCAGACCAGTGAGAATGGGGAAAATTAGCAAGACAGGAAACAACAAATGTTGGAGAGGATGTGGAGAAAGCGGAACCCTCTTGCACTGTTGGTGGGAATCCAGACTGGTACAGCCACTCTGGAAAAACTGTGTGGAGGTTCCTCAAAGAGTTAAAAATAGATCAGCCCTACGACCCATCAATTGCACTGCTGGGGATTTACCCCAAGGATACAGATACAGTGAAACAGCAGGACCCCTCACCCCTATGTTTATAAGCAGCCATGTCCACAATAGCCAAAGGGTGGAAGGAGCCTCGGTGTCCATCAAAAGATGAATGGATAAAGCAGATGTGGTCTATGTATACAATGGAATATTACTCAGCCTTTAGAAATGACATATACCCATTATTTTCTTTGACGTGGAGGGACCTGGAGGGTATTGTGCTGAGTGAAGTAAGTCAATCGAAAAAAGACAAACATTATATGGTCTCATTCATTTGGGGAATATAAAAATTAGTGAAAGGGAATAAATAGAAAGGAGAGAAAATGAGTGAAAATATCAGTGAGGGTGACATGAGAGACACAGAACTGGGAAATGAACAAGGGGTAGTGGAAGGGGAAGTGGGCAGGGGGTTGGGGTGATTGGGTGTTGGGCACTGATGGGGGCACTTGGCAGGATGAGCACTGGGTGTTATGCTATATGTTGGCAAATTGAACTCCAATTAAAAAAATAAAGAAAAAATGAATTTGTGGCACAAAATAGGTTGAATTACTTTAAATAACTCATATTCACTCACCAGCTGATAGGTGTAGTTTTTTCATATCTATCTATCTATCTATCTATACCTTGCTACTTACTATTTTGGATCAAATCCTCTATGTCCTTCTACATGCATACACATTCAGATTTGTAAAAGTTTCAGTGTTGCAAATTCTATCAACATTGATTTTAGGAATTGATTATGGCTCTTGCTTTAAAGTCTGTTTTGTTTTATATATAATATTAACAAAAATAATGTTATATATATGTATTTCAAATACTATTTCATTGTGACTGCTTTATCTTTTTCATGCTTTTAGTTTCTTTTTTTATCTTTCTTTTTTAATAATAAATTTATTTTTTATTGGCGTTCAATTTGCCAACATACAGAATAACACCCAGTGCTCATCCCGTCAAGCGCCCCCCTCAGTGCCCGTCACCCATTCACCCCCACCCCCTGCCCTCCTCCCCTTCCACCACCCCTAGTTCATTTCCCAGAGTTAGGAGTCTTCATGTTCTGTCTCCCTTTCTGATATTTCCTACCCATTTCTTCTCCCTTCCCTTCTAGTCCCTTTCACATGCTTTTAGTTTCAATTTTTCTTTGCCCTAGGGGTTAAGTGCATTTTTTGTCAAAAGCATGTATTTGAAAAATAGTCACCAAAAGACATGTTTCAAAATGTTCAAAGCAGCTCTGCTCATAATATCCTTAAATAGGAAAAGGTCTGAATGTCTAGCTACAAGAGAATGGATCACCTGTCACATATCCATGCAGTGAGATACTACAGATCAATGAAAACAATCATAAAGTAGATAAAGCATGAAGAATGAATCTCATGAACATAACAATGAGAAAATAGACACTGAGGAGTATAATCTGCATTAGTATTTTTCTACAAAATCAAACACTAGGTAAATTTCATCAACTTTATAGATAAAGATAGTGATTACTTTCTGAAGGTGGTGATTTTAAAGAACTATGAAGAGGACTTCTAGTGTACTGGTAATTTGTGACTTTTATTTTTTTTAAGATTTCATTTATTTATTCATGAGAGACAGAGAGGCAGAGACACAGCCAGAGGGAGAGGGAGAAGCAGACTCCATGCAGGCAAACTGATGTGGGATTTGATCCTGGGACCCCAGGATCACACCTCAGGCCAAAGGCAGGCACCAAAGCACTGAGCCACCAGGGATCCTCAATTTGTGACTTCTAATCTGATTGCCAATTACATGAGTATTGCTCATTTTATGGATCTACCCATTCTACACATGAAGATGATCTTTCTTCTAGTTATGAAGTTGGTCATTTTAAGCACATGCCCTTTCAATCTTTAGACTGACAAATGTTTTGTGATGGTCTTTCAAAAGATAAAATCAAACCTTGCAATATTCTTGTTTCTTTATTAGTAGCTGCTAAGAAGGTAGTTTGTCCAATTTTTCATTGCTATAAAAACTCTACTTAATGTTTTCTCCCTCATCATTTTTTTTCCTGCTATTCACACTTCTTTGCACAGTGCCTCCAGAATGATTGTACTTCTTGCATCACATGTGCCTAATCTGAAACTCTTTCAGGGGCACCTTGGTGGCTCAGTTGGTTGAGCATCTGCCCTCAGCTCAGACATGATCTCAGGGTCCCAGGATCAAGTCCAGTGTCTGGCAACCTGCTCAGGGGGGAGCCAACTTCTCTCCCTCTCCCTCTGTTTCTTCTTCCCCTATTTTCACTCCTGTGTGTTCTCATGCTCTCTCTCATATAAATAAATAAAATTTTTAATAACAAATGAAACTCTTCCAGGATTGTGACAACCTTCTTCTCACAAAATTCCACTATCCAGTCCCTTCTCTGTCATAATTGCTTTGTTTCTTAAGAGATCATATCTTTGAAACTATGAAACATGAGCAAAAGACCTGATATTACAGTTGAAAGATTTTAGGGTATTACCTGTTTACACTAGAAAATCTTTTTCAGAAGATGCTTCACTTAGTTAGAAGATGATTTCATCCAGGTATTGTGCTGCAATGCATTTGTTTCTAATTAATACATCTTATTTTTTTAGAGCAGTGTTACTTTCATCACAATATACAGTAGAAACTACAGAGATACCCACCTGTCCCTCTCACTGGGATAGCCTCTCCCCCAGAGTGCTACATGTGTTACAGTCAAATGAACCTACACTGACACATCATTATTACCCAAAATTCAGTTTACATCAGGTTCACTGTTGCTGTCGTACATTCTGTGAATTCTGACATGTATAATGACAATTTCCAAAATGCAGTGACATACCGAAGTTTCACTACCCTAAAAATCCTCTACGTTCCACCTATTCATCCCTCTCCTGTCTTTAATCCTTGGCATCCACTAATGGATCTTTTTGGTCTTTCCATAGTTAGGCCTTTTCCAGAATGTCATACATAGATTGCCCCAAACTTAGAATGATCTGACTTGTACTTTTCCCTTTACAACTGGGCAAAACTGATGCATAAGTGTAGTAGAAATTGTATTTTGAATTTTGGATTTGGATCTTTTTCTGGGCTAGTTATATGCAGTATAATACTCTTTTGTGATGCTAGGCAGGGACTGTGACACCCATGTGCAGGATGCCTGGGAGCTGTGGTTGAGCATCAGCCTTTGGCTCAGGATGTGATCCCAGGATCCAGGATCAAGGCCCACATCAGGCTCCCTTCAGGGAGACTGCTTCTCCCTCTGCCTGTGTTTCTTCCTCTCTCTCTGTCTCTCATGAATAAATAAGCAAAATCTTTAAAAATAAATCCATGTGCAACCAAAATGCATTAGTTTTTTCATTTACTTTGTGGGGAAATCACACCTTATTTCTCTTTGCTAATTCTCTCTCTCTCACTCTCTCTCTGTCTGTCTTTTCTTATTGTAGTAGGAAAAGTCTTTGGTTGTGGATCCAAACACTAACCATTTACTTACCAATTTTAGGCCAGTAGGAGCAAGCATTAAGATTATGGGAAATGATACTAAACTCTGGCCCATAGGTGGAATCAGCATTCTGATCTGTAGGTTCTCACTGTATCTTCACTGTTTATGATTATTGATTTCAATTGGGCATCAAGAGAGTTGACCCTAAAGAACCATCTTAAAACAGATTCTACTCTAAATATTTGTTTGCACAACTGATTTCTGTATGAACTAGAGGATGTATATATGAATGTTCTATCACAAATTTAGATTAATTCATTTAGTTTTAGATCATAAACTTTTTTATTAGATTACAACTTCTGAACTAACAAAGAATATCTATTATTTTGTAGTCTGGCCTCTGAGTCAAGTATTTTAATAAAATTATCATCAAAATATTTTCTTTTATAATTCACTAATTAATATACCATTGGTTTCTGTCCATTGACTCAATCGTTTTTTCATGAAGGTTACACTACCTCTACCATCTTAATACTCCAAAGACTAAGTTTCCAATTAATTTTGGAATGCAAGAATTAGTATTTCTTCCGAAATTACTTTAAACCTGTAGTCCTATTGCCCCCTTCATTCTGCTTGCACGACTGATGATATACAAAACCTGTGAGATAGTCCCTGCCTTTTTCATTCACATCTTCCTCTTTTGTTTCTCAGAGTTGCTTAACCAATAAACTTCTTCAAACTAATTACATGCTTCCTTTGAAAATACTGATGGACACCAAACTTTCCTCATGGCTTTTTTCATCTCTGAATTTCTCAGAGTATAGATTAAGGGATTGAACATAGGAGCAATGATGGTGTAAAACAGAGCAAATATTTTGTCCTCAGGAAGAGTAATAGGTGTCCTAAGGTAGATAAAGATTGAAGGCCCAAAAAATAAGATGACCACAGTGATATGAGACCAACAGGTAGAGAGAGCTTTGCGTCTTCCTTCAGCTGAGAGATTTCTTAAAGTGAACAGTATAACGCCATAAGAAACAGATAAGACAATAAAGGTAACTAAGGCAACCATACCTGAATTGGCAACCACAAGGACACCAATGATGTAAGTATCAGTGCAGGCAACTTTCAGCAAAGGGAAGATATCACAAAAGTAGTGATCAATTTCATTAGGACCACAAAATGGCAATTGGATTGTCATTGATAATTGAGGAAAAGAATGAAGAGCCCCACCAGCCCAAGCAGCTAAGACTAGGAGATTGCATCTTGTCCTGTTCATGATAATCACGTAGTGGAGAGGTTTGCAGATGGCAGCATAGCGATCAAAGGCCATGGCGGTGAGAATGAAGATCTCAATGCCTCCAAAGAAGTGCATTGTAAAGACCTGTAACATGCAATTGTCATAGGAGATGATTTTCCTTTCCACTAGCAAGTCACCAATTAACTTGGGTGTAACTGTAGAGGTGTAGCAGATGTCTATTAAGGATAAGTGTATAAGGAAGTAGTACATTGGTTGGTGAAAAAGAGGGCTGCATCGAATGGAGATAAGGATCAGAAGATTTCCTGCCAACAGAGCAACATAACAGAGTAAGAAAATGACAAAACAAAATATTTGTATGCTCTGGTCATATGAAAGTCCTAGAAGTATGAATTCGGAGATGTTTCTCTGGCTTGTCATATATTTGCTTTGGCATATGCTTCCACAGGGACTTAGGTTTCTGAAAGAAAGAACACATAACCAAAGGTGAAAGTTAACTCTATAAACACAATAATGTAAAATTTATTAAAATGAATATTGACATAAAGATTAATTTTTCTTGATTTATTGAATTAAGCTGATTCTCTTTATTTTGTCTTTTATAAATCTAGCATGACATAATTTCATAATGGCAATCATAAGAATAATTACATATTTTACTCACTGTTATTAGTACTTTTTAAAATATTTAAATATTTTGATAATACATTTTATTACTATTAATGACATATTTAGATAAAGAACTGCTAATTATATGAGTTAGTCTTAAACAAGAAAAGATTTTGTCCATATTTACCAGTTCTTATACCTTACAAATAAGATAAATGATCCTCCTTTAAAATTACCTGAGAAAACACTCTTAGTATTCTGGGAATGAATCCTGAAGAAATGCACATTTGTTTATAGATCCAGTTTGAACTACTTAACTTTGATTTCTGTAGAGCATACTATATTTTCCTACGTAGTCAAATATTGTCAATGTATCATGTTAAACCGATGGAATTTCACTTACATTAGAAAGCAAAGTGTTTGAAAACAATACAGCAAAAGAAAGAATATCAATTAATGACTGAAATTTTGAGAAATATTCTGGAAGCCCATTCATTTGTCACATTTATACTTTATGAGTTAAAATTTAAAAAATACATAGTAGGGGTGGTGGAAGGGGAGATGGGAGGGGGTGGGGGTGACAGGGTGACGGGCAGTGAGGTGGCGCTTGACAGGATGAGCACTGGGTGTTATTCTATATGTTGACAAATTGAACACCAATAAAAAATAAAAAATTAAAAAATTAAAAATACATAGGATCATGGAAGTTTGTGATAGCAATTGATCAAGGAAAAGGTAAGATTGTTGAATTGCCCAAATATATTTGAATTATACATGAGTCATGGCTCTTGCTGAAAATTTCATACTTTAGTTACAATGTGAAAAATCAAATACCAATTAAAGGAAATAAAAGTGAAAGCAACTTGAAGACAAATTTTGGGTAAGTTAGCACTTGGTGGTATCTGTTGCAATAATGACTAAATGTAATATTCAGGAAATCACATCTTTGTAACATTTATCTTACGACATCATTTAATTGGGGCAAAATGAGTGTAGGATAATGAAGAAACATTTCGAAAAGCTATTTTACCCTCTAAGGAGGAAATATCTGATCCTAGCGGGTTTGCAAAAACTAACACATCCTCTACCTTAGTCTGATTCTGAAGTGACAGACATATCTGACCCTCAGATGTTTATTTAAAAAATAAGAAATGTGGGCACCTGTGTGGCCCAATCCACTGAGCAGCTGCCTTTGGCTCAGTTCTTCATCCTGGGGTCCTGGGATCAAGTCCCAAGGTGGGCTCCCTACTTGACCAGGAGTCTGCTTCTCCCTCTAACACTTCCTCCTCCTCGTGCTCTCTCACACGCTCTCCCTCTCTCAAACAAAATTTTAAAAAATAAAATAATGAAAAATTGTAAAAAATGTTTAACAATATTGCTATAACAATATTGTTTAACAACAATCATCTGGAGTGACTCACAAATTTAATATCAATGTTATTGATAGGCTTTAAGAAGAATTTACAAGGCAAATAATTGACAGCTATTACATTTTTAGAATGGTCTCTACCTTACCACATCAATTCTATTTTAAATTACTACTCACAATTCTAACTTCATAAAAATAGAAATTTTCAATTAGTTCCTACTTTGCTTTCAGAATCACTAACAAGGCTTCCTATCCTCCATTATATAACAAATAAAATAATTATATCACAACTGATATCAGAGTGTTCAGCAATTAACAGCAACTAAAGAATACTGAGAATTTTTAGGAGTATGAGGATCATTGACTCATCTTCTGTTCATTGCAACGGGTACTAATCTGTGTCCATGAATTAGAAACAATGTTAGTTCTTAAGTTATACCTAATTACTATAACAAACTGATTTAAGTAATTTTTTTTAAAAAAATTAAATTTAAGTAATTTTTAACTGATAAGTAATTTTCTCTGGGTCTAAAGAGAAGAGACATTAAGAGAATCCTAGTAATTTTTCAGATTTGAAAGGGAATACACGGTAAATATTAAAAGACAGAAATTCTGATTCTTCCTCAATCTGGGGCTATCTTTCATATGGGAGAGAACTGATAGGAATGTCATGAAGGACAGCATGAAAGAACTCTTTTGGTTCCCCATCTGAGCAGAAAGGAATATACAAGACAATGGGTTAATAGACAACCCGTCTGTCTTTTGAGTATTTATATTGGTAAAGAGGTAGGGAATATTTAATATACACACATATCATAGAATTCTCTGATTCTAAAACATTTGAAATAATTCGCCTTCAGTTTTACAAAGACAAATATTCCTAATCAAGGTTCCTGCTTGTTGGGACACCTGGGTGGCTCAGCAGTTGAGCGTCTGCCTTTGGCTCAGGTCCTTATTTTGGTCCGGTATTGAGTTCCCAATCTAGCTCCCTGAGAGGACTGTGCTTCTCCCTCTGCCCTGTTTCTGCCTCTCTCTCTGTGTGTGTCTCTCATGAATAAATAAATAAATCTTAAAAAAAAAAAACAAAAACAAAAAACGATCCTGCTTGTCTTCTAAATCATCATTGGAATTTCATCTCCAATAGCTCAAAACCTCATCCTGTATTCTGAGGGAACTTGCTCTGTGATCAGTGCTGCTTTTAGAGGGAAAAGGTAAGAGGGAAGAGTCAGTTGATGAGAATTATTGTCATAAAACAATATAGTGATACTGAGGAATCCTCCCATGAGAAAACTGAAGTCACAGTTGGTAAAGTAAGAACTTCAGGGAACCATGAACAAAAGATTGAAACAATAGTAACACAGAAAGGTGTAAAACATTGAGACATCTCAAATAAACTGGCCAATGTGATCCTTGAGCGAATTGCTTAATCTCTTAGGCCTCATGGTACTCATTTCACAATTAAGATAGCATTATAAAATTCGGAAGTTTAATGAGGGATACATGAGGTAATGTGAAATAGCCCGTGACATGTATGGTTTAAAGCTGTCATTTTTCTTTTATGGTCTTTCCTCTTTGAATGACTAGTTTAAGACCACAGATTGTCATGTGTGCACACACAACCAATGGAAAAATAAAGGAAATTAAAAAGAACATTCATAACATGGATTTAGCAAGTATGATCATGATAAACTCCAATTTCAGCAATCTGTTACTGAAAGTGTGTTAATGTCATAATCAATAGGTTATCGTAGCATTTTTCTTAACACTAATCACTAGTTTAATTTTTTTTCTCTACCAAAAGGTACTCAAAGGATTACTTTGGTTTTTGGTATTGTTGAATACAAATTATGTAGGTCTTTTGAATTACAGTATTCATAAGGAAGTTCTTATATTTGAATAAAAGTTTCTACCACACATTCAAACTTTCTTAGTGTAACAGAATGTGGGATGCGATAAGTTTACCGTAGTTGGCTCAAATGAAACTACTCTATTTTAGGATGACAGATGTTTTGAAATAATAAGAAATTCTTTGTCATTGTACATATTCAAGCATAGAGTCTGTTTCTTAATAATAATACAGAGGACTGCCTGTAAGCAAGATTCGGGGTCACAATGAAATTCAATGTCAATTTGAACATGTTTCAACTAACTCTACTGTTTTGCTCTCCAAAAAGGGGAATTTTGCTTAAAGCTAATGTCCCATTAAAACTGAAGTAAGCTAAAACTTTTGTATAGTAATCAAATTGTCATATGCTTCAGGAGAAGTTGTAGCCTTTAGGATGAATTTATATACAATAATTGTAAAGAACACACAATTAGCCTAGCACACGTGGGGTGGTACCCTTCCCAAACCAAGGTGACAAAGGGTAATCCACTAACCATAAGATCTCAGTGTCTGTCAGGTTAGTTTGGGGCTGCATTCAGATATGCATCCTCAGATATTCACTCTGCCAGTTTGTCTCTAGTATCAAAACCTGGAATAAAAGAAGACAATTACAAAGCCATAATTCAAACACATTCAGATTAATTCTCTACAAATACTTTGAAAATTTCGGCATGTCTTAAACCTTCTACAGTTTACAAGGGAAGTGGACTTCAAGTATTCACTTAGACTTGTTGACGAGAGAACTGGATCTTCATCCCACAGGAAAGCAGGCTGGGAATTTTGAGAGTTGATTTAACTTCTTAAGAAAAGCTCAGAAATAAAAAATAAGCAATATGTGTTTTTATATTCCTTCAAAAGCTAACACAAGTACTTAGGTTATAAGACTCATCCACTTATTTTATGCCTATGCCTGAAGACAATTCATTCAGAGGGACAAATACAAACTTAAGTGGCAATGCGAGATATAATAGGTCTTTGAAAGCTTTATGTAATTATGTTCCCAAAGGCATTTCTAAACAGGTCTTGGCCTAAGTGTTGCAAAGTCACCATCCACAGAAGTGTGCTTGGTGCTCTTGGGTATAAACTTTCCATATTTGCCTATCTGAGAAAAAGAAAAATATTGGCCCTTTTCCCTGGAGGCCCCAAAAGGCTATAATCTGACTGCCCTGCACTTCCTTTTTTCTCAAAAGTAGGAAGGAAATTGAGCCTGTAATACTAACAAGTTAGCTTTCTGGAAAATCTGAGATGAGTTAGGAAAAGGAAAAACCAAAGACAACCACTTGCAGTCCTTTTTTGGAAGTTTTCAAGATCTTTGGTGCACAGAGTACTTAGATAAATAAAATCAATGATTTCTGATAATATCATTGGTATGAAGTTAGCACTGAATGGATGAGCCATTGGAAAACGAGAGACAAAGACTGAATAAGAATAAATAACTCTTCCTCATAATGTGGCTGGGACAAAAAGCAAAAATGATATGGAAAAATCAGAGGAAGGAAGCAAAGTACAGCAAAGCCTTTAGTGTGTTTTCCATCCGGTTTTCTCTACTCACTGGCT